ACCAGGAGCCTGCATGTCACGCTTGCCAGTGACTTGCTATTTCACAGCTGTGGTGTCACTCCAAGGAAACACGGCCCATGCTGTCCATCTTTCGTTAGCTGCTCTGCCGTCACATGGCAACAAAACGTAATGCAATAATGACAGGAAGGTTCAACATCTGCTGCCATACTGCCAGCATCTGCTGTGACACTGGGCCAGTATCACAAAAGAGGAGTCCCTCATACTTTGCTTACTTTTTAATAAGCATCGCAAAATCAAGTTTACTGTTATGGGAAATAAACCATATCAGACACCATACGCTGTGAGGGAGCGTATGGAATTTGTAGAAATACAAATTAAACTCTGAACAGCAGCCTAGTTTCAGGGAGACCACAAAATCAAAACCTAGCAGAGGAGTGGCCTGACTATAATTTGTATAGGCAGTGTCCTTTGTGAGGTTAGCATGCTGTGATTTTGTTACGAAATGCACATTTTGTGATAATACACATTAGAATCCAAGTTAATGAGGGTTTGCAGCTCCTTCACCCTGTTATCCATGAAGGAAGCAAGTCCTCTTACAACTCTGCAGAACAGCTTGAGAATAGCAGAGAATAGGCTGCTGTCTATTGAGATTTTTTTTCTGTGCTGTAAAACCCATTCTGTAGGACAACTACTAACATCAGATTTGGTATATAAATCTTTACAAAGCTCAGAGCTTTGTGAGCCAAAACAACCTTTTGCTACAGATTTCATAACAGTTTTCTTAGTGTTTTGTTATAGAGCCATCTGGTTTTGACAGAGGTGTTTCATGATTGTTATATACTACTGTCAGCAGCTCTGGCCCAGTGTGCCGGGTTCAGCAGGAAGGGTACAAAGGGAAGTGGCAGGGAGATGGGCCTGAAATAAAACAGTGGCAATGAGCAGAGGGAGAAAACTAATTTACTAAATGTGGTAGTGGAATGTGAGATTGCACAGTAAAATACAGTATCACTGGAGTTGAAACTAATAAATCAAAATGAGAGATAGAGTAAGGCCTTCACTTTTGGACACTAAAGCTGAAGACAGATGGCTGGGGAGCACTGCAGAGATGAACAGCAAAAGAAGGACTGTCTTGTGACTGGTGAGCAGGAAAACAGAAATGGAACAGTGTCAGTCTGCTGGGAATGCCAGCAATCCTCACAGCTGGTGCGTTGGCCTTACAGTACTTGAGGGGAGTATATAAACAGGAGGGGGAATGGCTGCTTACAAGGATGGGTAGTGATGGGACAAGGGGGAGTGGTCATAAAGTGAGACAGGGGAGGTTTAGGTTGGATATTAGGAGGAAGCTTTTCTCCCCAGAGGGTGGTGAGGCACTGGCACAGGTTGCCCAAGGAGGCTGTGGATGCTCCATCCCTGCAGGCATTCGAGGCCAGGCTGGATGTGGCTCTGGGCAGCCTGGGCTGCTGGTTGGCGACCTGCACACAGCAGGGGTTGGAGCTGGATGAGCACTGTGGGCTTTTGCAACCCAGGCCATTCTGTGATTAACCTTTTAACTCCCAGTTCACTACATGGTGTGGAATACCAGTGACAAAAATCATAAACCCATGACAGGTATACTAATAAAAAAAGCAATCTCAATAATTATATATTGATTTCATAATAGCAAAGCAATGCAGTAAGATGGTTTCAGTATTTTCCAGATAGTAATAATAGTTTCCATTTCTTTTCTGTTCTGAAGGATACTCTTAATTTTCAGGGTTTTCCACACTGCATAAATTTTGAGATATATTCTTCTTAACCAGCTCTAGACTTAGAGATTGCATTGAAATCTACTTAGACTTGGCCCCTTTACCCCCTCCCCCATCCTGCAGGAGTTTTAATTTTTTTTTTAAATGCTGAGAAGGGGAAGAGATTTAGAAGTTGCACAGAGGGGATTTGTCTTCCAGTATTAATCATGATCTGGTCTAGAATTTAATGTTCTCACTCTCAGAAGAGTAAATACAACTTTAGGGATAGTGACAGCCTGCTAGTTAATAGGTTGATATTGTGAAGTTATGTGGCTCTATGAATATCTTGATTTATTTTTCAAATAAGATTATTTTCTATACTGATGATACTGCAATTTCAGGGAGAAACAGGGAAATAATGTTACCCAAAAAGAAAGTAAAGCACAGAGATGATAGATTTAGAATAATATAAGCCTAATGTTTCTCATTACTTTTGCTTTTAACAGTATTGCAATATATTGTGTGTGTTTTACTGCATTTCAGTAAATATGATAGCAGTCTTCCATGTGTATTTTTAGTGCATAAAGAAATGAACGCTTATCTTTTGGTCAGCATTTTGTGTTCTTACTTCTAGCTTACTCAGTACTTATATCTTCTGCAAGTACTTAAAAATAACTTCTATTTCAGTGGAGCTGTTACATGTGGAGGATCTGCTCACATGCAAACGCACAGAGATGTCCAACTTTCTGTTACCCTTATGGTAGCTGGTGTACTTTCTAGTCAATCAAGAATACGTTTCTAACTCTTGTGGACATGGGGTGATGGGAAGTCCTAGGAGAAGGATATTTGGCATGAAGTCATTTATGCTACGCGTGTTTGAGATGCATTAACCATTAAGGGATGCCAAGGAAGCGCAATGAATAGCTGCAAAGGCCGTTTGTCTCTTTCTGTACAGACAGTTTTTTTGGATACCACACGTCACTTAGATCTCCTGGAGGATGCAGCCTGCTGAAGCGGCCATATATTTTCCTTTTTCTCTTCAAAAGTAATGTGTGTGAGGAGAACGCTTACTGCAAGTGGAGGCCATCTATGTATTGCACGACTGTGTGTGCAGTACTTATAAGGTGTCCAGCAGATCTCCTAAATGACCAATAACAACAGTTTCCTCTGTGAAGGGTAGTTTTACACTAGTGAAGGTTTTGATTACTAAAAAGAAATGCAAATCTTAACATAGGCCCTTACTGTGCCAGAATAATTTGTGAAGGGTGCACGTAGACTTAAGGTAGAGATGCCACTTGGAAAGAAATCTTCTCTGACCTCCTTGGCAAGTAGATCCTGCTGCTTCAGCAGAAAATAACAGTAGTATTGACCTGCAGTGGGAATCTGTGCTGCTACCTCTCCTTGTGCTGGAGTGTTGATAGAGCCCAGCTCTTGCTGATCATCTGTTTCACTCTAATAAACTGAAAGGTCTGTGCTCTGTCAGGAGTGCAGCTTCTGCCTACAGGACTTTGTGCCCCAGCCCCTCTGTGCTCTAGCTCTGCCAGGGTTACAATGTGGGACCTCAATTTAGGAAGGACTAGTTCTTCTGTTCCTAGGTGAAAAACTGCCGGTAATGGTTTAACTGCAGTAATGGTTTGCTGTGATTAATTCAAGAAATAATGAAAGCAAAAATCTAGCCCTTCATTAATAATATAAAGGATGTGCTGAAAGAACGTGAAAGTTACACTGATTACAGAGTTCTCTTCATTAATTATGAACCTACCTAAGTGAAATGATTATTACAGGTTTGCAAAGTAAGTCACTGTCTTAAGCAGAATAGCCAAAGTTACAAACCAAAACAGCGAGTGGAAGGGGTAGGAAAAAGAACCTGGAAGTTGTGCGCCGTGGTCTCTTCTCTATCCATAGGATCACATTGTGTTCCAGAACAGCTTCCAGCTCACGTTGCATTACAGCAGGGTTTCTTAAGTGCTGCTGCAGACAGCCAGTCTCACCACAGTGTGGTCTGCAACGTATGTTCAATACGTATTTCCACCCATTTTCCTAGAGTGGTCTGGAGCAGATCTCAAGGGCCCAAACCTCAAACTAGGTTAATAAAGGACCCTTATTACAGTCTCCCTACAGATCTGTATGCTTGAATCCAACAGCATACACTCTTCTTTCTGTGACATAAAAGCAACTCTTTGTAAATCAGTAGGCATAACTCAAGCTGGAAAAGAGTATCAATCTGTGTCAGACTGCATTCCAAGATTCTTGGAAGCAGCTTAGCAAGGAGGGAATTAGGCCACTTGAAGAGGCAAGGTGTGCAAACAACTGACAGATCTGACAGCGAGGGTTACACTGTGTGATAGATACTGTTGCTGGAAACTGAACCACGCTGAGTTTCTTTCCGTTTTTTTAAGTCTATAAGTGAGACTCAGACATGGCCGGAGAGTGACTTTGAAGACTCTGCCTGTGCTTAGCATGTTAAAGCAACCCTAAAGGTGCTCATTTGCTCTGTGTATCGATGGGCGGGATATGTGGTGTTGCCAGACCCTTGGCTGATGCAGGAAATGCTCCTACAGTGGAGCAGGGATGCCTTCAAAATGTTCGAGACGTACCAGCTCATCTGTGTTTTAGTGTGCTGTTCGCAAAGCTTCCCAATCTGCATATCTTACTGATGTGACTGTGTTTAAACTTACTGCATCAGTTTGGCTAAGGTTGGAATTTTCTCCAAAATTTGGCTGAGGGACACTGTTGATGGAGTCTCCTTTGCAAAATGGCAAAGGAGGCAAATTCTAGCCTGGCTGGGGGTTTTGCATATCATTTTTTTTCTCTGCTTCTAAGGAAACTCGAATGGTGGTGAGAATGTCAGTGCTTTTCTCTTCCTGTAGCAGTTTGTAGAATTGTTGCGTGAAAGCCTGAATTTGGGAGGCTTGGAAGATTGCAAGGGATTGGGAAGGGCAAGAGGAAGAGATTGTTGATAGAACCTTTGGACTAAAATGCCTGTTCCATCATGATCCCAAACTGTAAGGCTTGAATTAAATGACCTGTCCTCTCCAGTTCTGTAGTCTCGATAGCTTTAATCCTTATTGTAATCAAATTTGTATCTTCTTTGCATGCTGTGCCTTTATGAGAAAAGGGAAAGAGTACGTACGAAATCTCTACTGGTATGTTAGACTTGCATGCAGAAGCCTGGTTGTGCTGGCATCTCCCTTGTAGGTTTTCAGACAAAGACTGCAGTGTTTTGAGAAATGAGCTATCCTGTGTTCTGTAACCATGTGAACTGTCATGCTGCAACGTCCACTGGCAAATAATAGTATGTCTTATTTCTTGCAGGGCTTCCAAAGCAGCTGAGGACAGAACCTTAAGGAATGCCATGTAGTAAGTGCTAAACAAACTGGCACAGAAAGGATCAAAAAAGATGGCAGTCTGTATTTGAAATAATTAAACATACGGACTCTCACTGATAAGAAATCATGTCCAAAAAAGGACGTAGCAAAGGCGAAAAGCCTGAGGCACTGATTGTAGCCCTACAGGCTGCCAATGAGGAACTCAGGACCAAGCTAACGGACATCCAAATTGAGCTGCATCAGGAGAAATCTAAGGTGAGTGAGGGTTTGGTTTTAAAGAAGTGTCTGCACTGAAGGAAAGAAATGTGGGGAAAACAGTAGAACGGAAATCAAGAGATGCAGCAAAACTCTTCTCTTGAACAACAGTTTGATGTTCCTTCACTGGAATAGATTTCTTTTTACTGAGGTACAAATTCAAGCAGCCTCTGGCCTTACAGTGAAGCATTATGCCTTTTGTAACATCTTTGCCCGTGTTCCAATTAGTGATTTTTCATCTTATCTGCTCAAATTGTTTCTAAGTATACCATTTTTAAAAAATTCCAGTGCCTAGAAGTTGTATAGTGTTGCTGTTTTGAATGACTGCTTATTTCAGTAAAATATATCTCTATTTCAAAGTTGAGTGAAGTAGTCCTTAAGTGTACAGCATGAAAGTCCATATGGACCTTTGTAATCCTTTTGCAGTACAGACCAACTCTGTCATGTGCACTAAGGTATGTATGCATTGTTTCAGGCTTGTTCAGGTACCAGTGATCTGCCAGCTTTTCAGTATGATAGCTAAACTTCCTTAAAAATCAACTGAGTATTATGTGTAGGTGCACGTAGGATTGTGCTGTGAAAGTGCTCAGAGGTCTCCAGTTGGGCTTAGACATATATTAGTGTAAATGTATTGAAGGCTGCTCTGTAACTTTGATTCCAAACATATGGACAAATAACTTAAAAGTTGTTTATATTAAATAGCAACAAAGAACAATCCTTGTAATGACCAGTGAAGCACACTTTTCTTTAGTTTCATGTCCAAGAGCTGACTACCTGAAAGTTTCACTTATGATTAAGAACATCTACAGAAGACTAGATGTTTTCTGGATGTTCAGATTTGCAGCACGCACTTTCCTCTAACTTCCTACAGTCATGAATCACATGAAATCTGTATGAATCTTGCTATTGCCAAGCCTTCTACTTCTCTGAGGAATTTGGTTGAAATTAACAGTTGAGTTAGAAAGCTGTTAGTCAAATGTCTATACAAGGACTTATTTCTTAAGGAAAAACTGAAGTATTTATCTTCAGTAAAGACATTGCAGTATCTAAGCGAAGACTTCAGGAGTTGGCCCGTATTTTGTTGGAGGAGGATGGAGGAACAACTGGGGTCTGCAGGAAACCCTTTCTTATTCTGACATGGCTGCATGTCCAAGTGAGCTTGTTTTGGTAGCAGTATCTTGGTAGCAGTTGACTCTCATTTTATTTCAACTTAGATTGCTAAACTTGAAAGAGAGAAGACTCAAGAAACAAAGCGTATCCGTGAAGTGGAGCAGCGCAAGCAAACTGTGCAAATCACAGAGCTAAAAGCCAAACTCCATGAGGAGAAAATGAAGGAGCTGCAGGCTGTGAGGGAGAACCTCATCAAACAGCATGAGCAGGAGATGACACGAATGGTGAAAGTCCGAGACAGTGAAATCCAGCGCCTCAAGTCAGCGCTGTGTGCCCTGCGGGATGGCAGCAGCGATAAAGTAAGGACAGCCCTGACTATTGAGGCTCGTGAAGAGGCCAGAAAACAGTTTGACTCTGAGCGCCTTAAGCTTCTGCAGGAAATTACTGAACTTAAGTCTGCCAAAAAGCAGGTAGATGAGGCCTTGAACAATATGATCCAAGCTGACAAGATCAAAGCAGGTGATCTTCGAAGTGAGCACCAGTCCCACCAGGAAGCCATTTCTAAGATCAAGTGGGAGAGCGAGAGGGATATTCGCCGCCTGGTTAGTAACCCTTCCCTGCACCAAAAAGTCTCATGTATTTTATTCTGTAGTGAGTTTGTCTCCTTTGCTTTTCAGTTTTTTGGTGAATCTTAGAACTCTGCAAAGCAGCTCAGTCTGAAGAAGTAACAAAAACCTCATGTTGCTGTATCTCTGTGGCTGATAGCTCACAGTGAGTCAGTTAGAGCAACCATTGGGTGGGCAGCTAATACCACAGAGTAATGGTGATTGATTTCATCAAGACCTTGGCTTGCCAAGATCCTAATATATCTGCCATGCGAAATATTAGAAAATACATCTGCACTTGAAGTTATTAGTTTCTTTAACCCTTATGTTAGTGTCTTAAACACATCAAATCATGGCAAGAGGGAAGAGACCTTTTGCTTTGGTCTTGCCATAGCATTCAATGAATTCATACTAATGAGAATGGGTAAAAAGAACCTATACCAGTAGTAGTGCAAGTGGCTGTGTTTTTTGTATAGCTAGGGAACTGGGCCTGCTTGCAGTATTGGAACATTTGGCATGAAAACTGACAGTTCAGTAGAAGGAAACAGTGATGTAAATACTGTCAGGAGTGGTATTTTTTATTTTAAAGCATTGTGTTTGAACATTGATAGGGAGCTATGCACCCCCCTCTCACACATTCACCTCTCCTCTGCTCCCACAGTGAGGGGGTAGAAATAATCGTATAGTAACAAGTTATAAAAAACATTGAGGTAAGGAGAGTTTAAGAAGTAAAAGAGGAAAAGATTTAAAAAAAAAAAAAAAAAATCCTAAAAACCAAGAAGAAGAAATGCAAATGATGCAAAGCACAGTTGCTCACCTCTGGCTGACCAATGCCCGTTCAGTCATTAAGGCATGGCAGCCCCAGCTTAGTCTTCCTAGTTTTACTGTTGAGCACAGTGTCAACATGGTATGGGTGTCCCTTTGGCCAGTTTGAGTCAGCCGTCCTGGCTGTGTCCCCTCCCATTTTGCACATCACATTGTGCTCAGTTTTGCTTTGTGTAAGGCTATCAAAGCTGTTACTGCAGTGGTGTACAGTGTGGCTGACACCTCGGAGTATATTATTTTCAAGCCTGGGTGGTAAGACTTAGCAGATTTAAGTGGTGAACACTAGTAAATCCTATTGTACTATATTCACTGAGGCTGAAGTGCTTTTGTTTTTACACACTTAACGTTATTGCTCTTGTGCTTTTCTCATCAGATGGATGAGATCAAGGCTAAAGATAGGATCATATTTTCCTTGGAGAAAGAACTGGAGACACAAACAGGCTATGTGCAGAAGCTGCAGCTGCAGAAAGAAGCTCTGGATGAACAGCTTTTCCTGGTGAAAGAGGCAGAGTGTAACATGAGCAGTCCCAAGAGGGAGATCCCAGGAAGGGCCGGAGATGGCTCAGAGCACTGCAGCAGCCCTGTATGCAGGTTTTACTGACTTCTACACAACGTTTCTCTTGCTTAAATGTTGTCTTGGCCCCTGGGAAAACGTTTAAAAAATCAGTACTGCTTTGAAAGCATTGATTGATGAACATAACTATCCGGATAGCCTGCATCCTCAAAAACAAACAGAAATCAGGAAGATGAGCAGAGAGAAGGCTGTGGGGAACCTAGGAGATTTGGAGAGTACCTCCTATTTCTGTCTTGCTTTATGCATGTGCAGCTATTGCTGTCATTCACAAGTGTAGCAGATATGCAAATTCATGGCCCGAAATAGTGAATGGAACATGTGGTGGGAAGGCATGGCCAACCCAGGGGAGTTCAGGTGTATGCAGTGTGCCTGATTGGGTGGAAGGGATGAAACCAGGATTCACCCCTTCCCAGACCTCATTTAAGGGTTGGCAGTGGAGGTGAGGGGATCTCACTGGAGAGCCCTGCATATGAGGCCTTCCAATGATAAGCAGCCTTTTCTTTTTTATTTCTTTTTTTGTGTTCGTGGCTGCTGTCTTTGTTCTTGTTTGCTGCAGCCGAAGTCTTTGTCACCCTGCTATTCTGCACTTCCCATCACGTTACAGCATTACAACAAGGAATGCAGCTCCTTGTGACTAAGCACAGTATTTACCCAACAAGTGTGTATGCATGCGTGTTTTTACATATACGTGAATGAGGAAGAAGAAGGTAAAGAAAGTTGATACTGAAAGGGGTGTCCTTACTTTTTTGCCTGACTTAGTGGCCCAGCAGCGTATAGGAAAAATCAATTGAGACTAGAATATTTCAGCTTTATAATAATATACTACCCCTGTAAAATTTACTTCCCCTGTAATAATAGTAAAAAAAAAAAAAAAAAAAACCATCAGGATCTCTTTACTATTTTTTAGAAGTAAAATTTTTTAATCTTAAAATTTTCCCAAAAGTAGATGTTTTCTTCTCCCAAAAACTCATTTTTGCCAAGATGTGTGATCTTCTAAAAAACAAATAACAAGTACAATTTGTTGGTTGTGCTGACTGGTATGTAGCTTTGGGTGATTGCTTTCCCAAATGTGTTTTGAAGAATCAGTAATTGTGTTATGTTGTCACTGATGAACAGGACTTGCGCAGGAACCAGAAGAGGATAGCTGAGTTGAATGCAACAATCCGGAAACTGGAAGACAGGAACACGTTGTTGGTTGATGAACGAAATGAACTGGTATGTGAGCTTTGTGCTGTCAGAGAGGGGAGGCCAGGAGCTGTAGGGCAGATGAGGAGAGGAGTCTCCAAGCATGTGGTAAATGTGCCTTTTCTATCCATTGGGATTGTCTCCTAGGGCACTTGGGGTGGCTTTTCACTCCAGAATTACTGAGTAATCTCAGTAAAGTTATATCAGGGCGAAAATCACAATGGAAGAGTCTTGTTGGTTTCTGTGTGACTGCATTCCTTCCTTGACCTTCTCAAGAGTTCAGGAGCATACAACAGTATATGGTGATGTAAATCACATGATGCCTGTAGTCCTATACTTGAGAAGAGACAAGAATCAGCTATAGATAGAATGGACAGCAGTAAACTGATTTCTGTATGTGATTTACTCTTAGGTGGTGATTTGATCACTCAGTGTTTTTACTTCCATGATTAAGAATGAGGGTGCTGAAATTCAATTCTGATATTTTATTTATTTTGTTCTTCAGATAGGAGTCTCGGTGCACTCCTTTCATATCAGTATGGCTGGCTTGAGCCTCCTCAATATTTTTAAATTAATATTTTCAAAATAACAAGTTTGTAATAACAGTAGAAATGTGTTCACATGCCTCTCTTCAATTAGGAAAAGCTCTCAGATTTCTACAATACTGAATAGTTTGTAGCTGTCTCATGCCATTAAATCTTCAGCCGACTTTTTCACAGAAAAAAACCTTTTTTTTTTTTTTTTTAAAAAAAAAAGGCTTCAAAATTCTATCTTGCATAATGTGACTATAAAGAATACATACTAAATGTGGGCAGGAACTGTTGGAAATACCATGTTGTAAGGTAAGTGAGTCACAGCCTGAACCACTGATGGAGCACCTGGGAAAGGGCCGTCAGCCCTGGGAACACAGGTGCAGCAATTTACCTGTGGGACAGGAAGGGGTGGAGCCTGGCTGCTCCTCTCTTAGACCTCATTTAAGGGCTGACTGCCAGTGAGCCAGGATCTCTGGTTGAAGTTCCCTCCCTTGTGAAGTCTATCCTGATTGCCTAGGTCTTTGGAGATGGTGAGCATCTTTCCTTTGTAACGTGGTTCCATCCATGCTGGTCCCTTTGCTCTTACACTCCTATATCCCCTTCCACCACGTTAATCTTTCTGATTGTAGCACGTGTGCTTTGAGATACAATCAGACTGGCAATAGCTTTCTTCATTTGTAGGGTAAGGCAGGTAGTTTTGCCAACAGTGATGCTGTTGGAAGATGTAACCACCTCCTACCAGCTCTTCCCTTTCCTGTTAGCAGAAGGGGTCTTCAGGCACTTGCTAGCTTCAAGCAAAATCAATGGGTAAGATGATATGATGATAAAAGGAAATGTGCTTAACTCTCCTTAACAGCTACAGGGAACTCTCTGTTTTTTTTTAGGGCAGAACTGCATCAGGCAGGAACTTCCTAGTGATGAATGCTAATACAGAGCTGATTCTTGCATTCATTAAGTAGATAATCTGGGCACACATCATCTTCTTTATCCTTCCTTAGGAAAAGAAACGTTGTGTATTAACACTGGGTTTTACCAGACAGAGCTAATTTTGTGGAGGAAAAGAACTTGGTTAAGACTCTAGCTGTATTAATACTGGGACTTCCAAAGATGCCATAAGATACTGTGCTTGCTTTGTAGTTTAAATGGCTTTTAGTTAATATTTGTTCACTCAAACATTCATTGTGCATAGGCATAAGTTCCTACGTAAATCTGTCTTTTGATGAGAAAGTCCATGAGTTTCTTGAAGATAAAACACGGGTCTTGGTTTCGTTTACAGTTCTTGCAGCAGCTTTGCAGTTATCTGATAGTGTGTCAGTTTGCTTCATCTCTATAAGTGAGTTTTCCAGTTGATAGAACTATCAGTAAAAACATAAGCATTGCTAGGGTGGCTTCGCCAGTTCCAGTAATCACTTTGCTTGGTGTTTTAGTGTGACGGGAGTCCTATAGGGGAGATTAACAAAAAATATTTCTCACAAAAGAGAACTATATCTCTTATTTGGACTACTTACCATTATTAATTGCTACAAATCAATTGTTATCAATTCAGCTGAAGCGTGTCCGAGAAGCTGAAAAACAATGTAAACCTCTCCTGGAGAAGAACAAGTGCCTCACAAAGAGAAATGATGAACTGATGCAGTCTTTGCAGCGCATAGAAGATAAACTCAAAGCAGTCACTAAAGAAAACATAGAAATGGTCAGTATTGAAGAGAAAATTGCATATTACTGCATGATATATGTCTGTTCTGGTGGAAACGTTTGCATGGTGAGTGCATACATGTGTGTGTACTACTATGGACAAGATTCAGCAATGGTTAGGTTTGTGCATAATAGCCTTACATAATGTTGTCTATTATGCTTGTGTGCAGTATTTTTGAGTGAACGCATAAAATCAGTCTTTAATATCCTGAAAACTATATTTGAGGCTGAATTAGAAGTTGTATTGAGTTATGTTCTACTCTACAAGGCTAATCAGTTTTAAGACTCTGCAATTCACCCATGCCCGGAAGACACACAAACTTATTGCAGACATTACAAATTAGAATTCTTTTTCCATGGCAGTCGTGGATGGCAAATCACAGCCCCTTGGCCTCTCTCACAGCAAGCAGGAGAGACTTTAGTGATCATGCATTAGACATCAGGGGACAGCACCACCAGTGCATATGGGTGCGCATGGCAACTTAGCTCCACTATCAAGAGTTGCCATCTGTTTTTAGTAGTGTAGATGCACAAATTATGCAAGTTAGCAGGCTGTGGGTGGCTGGAATAATATTCTTGGGCTATAGGTGTTTCCTCTTCCACACATGCTCAGAGCAGGCAGCACACAGTGTTCTAGTTAAAATAGTTATGGTGCCTCATTATTTCCCCTTCCTCTTCTTTTGGCAGGATACGAGTTTTTCACAAAGCTGAAATGTCCACTTGCTCACTGTATATGGTCAGTTGAGGGGTATCAGCAAATGCGTGGGGACATGGAGCAGATACTGGGATGTCCCCTGGACAGGGGATAAATGTATTTGCCATGCGGTGGGCCTCTGAATGCATGTGGCTTTTAAGGGGTAGAAGCTAGATTACCACAAAATAAATAGATGTAAGTCCGTATTGTTCTTCAAGCAGAACTCAGCTTTTCTGTGCTGCTTTGTTGTTAAGAACTGCTTGTGGTTTATAAAACTTGTATAGTTGATACTATGAATTATAAAATTACAAGTTATACAAATTATTTAGCAGAAGCATATTAATATGATGGTACATTCAGTTATAAATTAAGTGGAACTTTTCATTTAGAATGTTTGTTTTTCTTGTTTAATTGTTGCATCTTATTTTATCTATGTCTTCTTACTACAGAGAGAAAAAATGACCTCGCATCCTCCACTAAAGAAACTAAAGTCTCTAAATGACCTGGATCAGGCTAATGAAGAACAAGAAACAGAATTTTTAAAGCTTCAGGTCATAGAACAACAGAACATAATTGATGAGTTAACAAGGGTATGTCCAGAACACCAGGAAATTAGCAGCAATTCCTGTACAAAGTTAACTGCCACTAGTATTTCATATTATGAATAGAGTTCTGAGGTTTCATATCTTCCTTGCTCTTAACACCTATGTAGCTTTAGAAGTCAGAGTGTGTTGGTGTGGATTAACAGCTTTTTTTATGGGATGCTGTCTCTGCAACTTGAAAATGTGACATTGATGTGTGAACTGAGCTGTAGAAATGAACAGACTGAACAGTGGAGCTCAGGAACATACACACACGTTTGCAAGGCAGGGCTGTGACAAGCTGGCGTATGAGGTAACCATGCTGGAGAAAAAAATGCATGCACACAACGCAGTGCCCTTTGTGTGCTGGGAAAGAGCATGGTGCTAGTGGTTCTCTAGTTCTTATGCTGTATCCTTTAACACTGACAATCCCTTTTTCAGATAACTTTGCATTTTGTGGAGGGGAAGGAGAAAGATACTCCAAAGCAGGCTGTTTCTTCTCCTAAGGCACCATTGCTAGAAGTGGTGAAATCAACATGTGTATCTCTTAATAACTCTGAGACAGAGGAAGCACCACCTTTGCAGTGAAGGCAGTTTGCTTCCCATTATGAACCCAAATGGGTGCCCTATGAAAGCCTCCTGGTGACTTTCACAGGAAATTGATCAGTGTCTGTTGTCTGACAGCCGCCTGCCAAGGCAGCTACACAACAGCAGGGGCTGCTGTTCTGCTATTCCCTCTTCATCAAGTGATTTTCAGCTGGCAGACAGATTTAGGTATGAATCTTCCCTTCTACCTGGAATCATATTGCTTCTGAAAAATGTAGCAGTCAGTGGAAAAGCAGTGACTTATCTCATCTGTAGGTCTAATGTTCTGGGGCTGCAAACAAAAGAAGATAGAGGTAAAAATTGAGTCCAATAACTTTTCAATCTCACTTACCAGGACAGGGAAAAACTCATTCGTCGCAGAAGGAGTAAAAGGAGTTCAAAGCCAATTAAGGTAAGAGGAAAAATTATGAATTAAAAAAAGATATGTAAAAGTTGATTGGCATCTTCTGTTCTCGTGGTTTTGTTTTGTTTTGTTTTGTTTTGTTGGATTCAGATTCCTTTTACTGGTAATAGGGCTTGAAACTAATCCTCCAAATTAGAAACCCATACTGGCCATTTCCAGGCAGTTTCAGAAACCATGTTTTTCCTTCTTTAGAGACACGTGATAGACACAGTTTTGGGGTATGATGATGATTCCATGGACTCTGAAACATCCTCAGTGGCCTCATACAGAACAGACAGAACACCAGCAACTCCGGATGATGATCTGGATGAGGTAAGATCTGACTCGATTTCCATAGGCAAGGACAAATCTTCAAATGATTCTGACTTCCAAAGCAAGTGACCTGGGTTTTATTGCTGCATATTGGATGGCAAGTTCTTCATTAAATTCGGCCTCATTTTCATATACTCAAATACTGGGAAGTTCTCTCAAAGTCTAGTCCATGGACTCTACAGCTATGACTTCATTGCAGTCTGAGGTGACTTCTTCCCTCTCGTCTCCCAAGAAAATGAACTTGTCATGCTTCTTTTTAGCTTAAAGACACATAATTCAATTAATTCTACATCCTTATCACTTCTCATTACAGCAGGATCACCATAAAAGCTGTTCTAAATCAAGATCTGCAAACCAACTTGTGTTTAATACCTTACACTTGTGTTCTTTGCTTTGGCAGTGCTGTGCTGTCTAGTGCTTAGGCGTGTCCTTTCTCTTTCCTCAGAGTTTAGCTGCAGAAGAATCAGAGCTGCGGTTTCGACAGTTGACAAAGGAATATCAGGCCCTGCAGAGAGCTTATGCACTACTGCAAGAGCAAACAGGAGGCGTCATAGATGCTGAAAGAGAAGCCAAGGTCAGTAGTGGTCTGAGAGACAAAGCGTTTCATTACTATCAGAATGTTTTGATTTCTCATAGTGGCATGCACGGAAAAGAAGATAAATATTCATGGACATCTATCTGTTGCATTTCACTCATTGGCAAGTATATTTCAAGAGAGTGATGACTGAAGATGGACACAATTGCTTTGTTTACAAGGGTCTGTTCTCTGGCTGTTTCAAACCCTTACATTTAGACAGACATGTTGAAGCAGCCGCTTCTGTAGTTTGGCACAGAGTCACAGGAATGGTCTCCTGTTTTGCCCAGGTGTGAAGGGGTTGGATTTGTGTGTGTGTGTGAATGGAGGCCTATGTTTTTCCATAAAGGCATAAATTGCACCAACTTTAGAAATACCCACCTGAATGCAGCTTTTTTTCCCTTCTTTTCTGTATCTGTGGCTGCTGCGTTTGGGCTTGTCCTCACTTGTTGCAGCTGAAGTCTTTGCCATCCTGCTATTGCTGCTATACTTTCCATTGCATTGTAGTGTTACAGGCTCTTACTAGGGTCTTTGAGTAGAGCCTCACACTGAATATCTGGCCTTCCATTGCTCTGCTCCAGTTTAAAGCATGTTTATTAACAGACTTGAGTGGAACTACTGCTCTGTCCCCTTTTGCCATCTGTATGCATATGTAAGGTGGCACAAATATTACAGAGCTAGGATCTTTGTAGTGATTACTCATGCCGTAGAAATAATGGTGTAGATCCATTTTGTTTTTCTTTTTTTTTTTTTTAAGTCAGTCACATTGCTGTTTTGATTGTTGCTGAATGCTGTGTTTGACTTCGACAGGCTCAGGAGCAGCTCCAGGCAGAAGTCCAGAGATACAAAGCCAAAATAGAAGATTTGGAGAAAACTTTAGCACAAAAAGGACAGGTAAGCACCTCTTGTGTATTTTGTTTTTCCTGTTTTGTATCTTCACTCTGTTTAGAATACACCTAGCACAATTTCATTATAGACTTCCCCAAGATGTAATGTCTCTGTTAATAAACAGGCAGGTATAGCGTGCTTAGAAGCCTTGCTAAAGCTTGCTAAACTAATATGCTGTTGTTTTGTGATCCATGATTTGTTTATGTAGGATTTTAAAACCTGAGTATTGTGGTTCCAATTTTCAGCCTTGTGAGGTTTGATTATTCTGTAACAGAACTGCTTCATTCAACAGGACTCCCATTGGGTGGAAGACAAACAGCTTTTCATTAAGAGGAACCAAGAGCTTTTAGACAAGGTACGTTCCTGAGTTTTGCATGTCTGGAGGAGACTCAGGGGAGGTTATGTTATTGCTCTCTATGGCTACCTGAAGGAAGGTTACAGTGAGGTTGGGGTCGGCCTCTTCTCCAATGTAGCTAGTGATACAGATAGAGGGAATGGCCTCAAGCTGTGCCAGGAAAGATTGAGGTTAGGATGTTAGGAAAAGGTACTTCTCTGACAGACTGATCAGGTGCTGCTATGGGCTGTCCAGGGAGTTACTGACTGGGAGTGTTCAAGAAATGTTCAGATGTTGGACTGAGGGACATGGTTTAGTGGGAAATACTGAGATAGGTGGGCAGTTGGACTGGATGATCGTGGAGGTCTTATCCAACCTTGGTGATGATTGTGTTCACTCTGTAGGGTAATCTTGATCCTAAAATACGCCTTTTGGATGTTTACTCTAGTGTTTACAAGAATAGTGTATGGATAGCATAGTGTATTTGAATATGAACAGGATATACAGATAGAGTGATGTAGATAGATATGGCCTGTCCACCACTGATAAGACACTGTTGGTAGTAGTTCTTGATGATCCTAGTCTAAGACTTGGAAGTTTTGCTCAGCATTACAGCTCTGCTGTCAACATTATGCTCTTGCAGCATTGTTTCGAAGAGTTTGCTGATGCTGCCTCAACAGGACAATCAGAGCTGAGCTTCTTGATATGAAATGGTAGCAGAAATGAAGTCATCCTCTAACATCAGGACTTTTGTACTCCTGGTCTCAGTATAGTCCGTATGTTTGTTTGTTTGTTTTTTAAGGGCTTGAGTCACCCCTAGGTCCTGTGAACTTGCACTGCTCTTTTACTTGGAGCATTTACATGTGCATATGTATATCCATATATTTGTATGTATGCATTTTTAGTCATGCAATATAAGCCCATGAAGGACCTTAGCATTGCTTGCGTATCACCAACAGTTACAGCAGTGGCTGTACGTATGACTGCCATCAGCATGAGGCCGTTAACACCCAGCAATGGATCTCCTAACTTCTTTCACCTCTCTAGATAGGGCATCCTAGCTGTGCTTCTTCCCTTCCATAAACAAGTCTTTTAAGTCTCCAGCCCTGTGTCATACTTCCCCAGCCAGATGAATTGACCCAAGGGGGCTCATTTGGGAGCATGTTGATACAGATCAACTGTCCTGGTATTGGCTCCACTCGGAAAACCTCATTGCAAAATATAGATCTTGGCACTGGCCAGAGACTTGTGGAAGGGAGCAGGCTATAGGGGATCAGTGGTGGAACTGTCCAGAGCAACGAAGTTGTATCTAATTGGCCAGTGCATGTTATTCACATCTATTTGCTAATTGACAGAACTGTTCTTGAGGAGTGCTCGAATGAGACAGGATAGCTGCTTGAGTAACTGCATCCAGAGACAGTTGTCCCTGTGTGCCGACTGTGCTACACACTGAGAATCTCTGATCAAGCCCAGGACCTCCTCCAAGGCAGGACCAGGTGTTCCTGATAGGTGCTTATCCAAGCTGTTTGCAGAGTCCTCTAAGACTGTACAGTTCCCCTCCAAACCATCTATTCCAGTGCTTTACCATGAGAGCAATGCACATTATAGTTAATACAGACTAATCCAATAGCTAGCTTGATGTTTCCATCAGCCTTCCCACTGATGTTTGCTAGGATTGGATTGCTTTAGGAAAACCTTTAATGTGAGCATTTTATGATGTTTAGCAAGGTGAGCAGAAGTTCACCTGTAAGTTATGAACTCTTTGAGTTAACGTGGCAGCTAGAGAATCATCTCTAGAGGTTTGGCTTTTACACTGCCTATGCTGTCCAAACTGTTACGTGACAAATACTCAGTGTCTCATGTAACAGTCATGCAGATAATGAATTTATGTATATCTATTAGATAGAAAAACTGGAAGCAGAAAACAACCGTCTGCAACAGGAGCTACAGGATGCCCGGGACCAGAATGAGCTGCTGGAGTTCCGCAACCTGGAGCTGGAGGTAGTGATGTTCTGCTTGCAGTAGAGCTGGTAGCAGATGAAACCAGTTCACTCACACTGGACACCAACTTTGACTGTTTACACCAACACTGTAATGATATGATAGAGAAATTAATCAGTGCAAGCACATTTATTTGCAGTTTGTGGGAATATGTGGGCTGTAGTGTCCTGGAAACAGTAAGCTCCGTACTTGACTCATTTTGGTCTGAGCCAGATGCCTAGTAAGCAAGGCTAATCTTAGCTGATTAACTTTGGTGTGGCTGTGCAAAGTTATCACACTTGTAGGTATGTTTTTTCTCATACTTCAGAGCAGTCTGTTGTCAGCATGCTTTGTCCTTATTGCTGGCCTGGGGGATATATGCACAGTGCTGGCCAGAGTCTATTAAAATTAACAGAAATGAATTGGATTGAAATGACCCAGTGAACAAGATTTAAACTCCATCCTCATGTACTTTACTTAGGACTGCATCCTAGTTGGCAGCCAAAATTGCTGCTGATATCCAGTTGTGGTTTTTTTGTTTGTGAGCTTGTTTGTTTATTTTCTCATGGAAATGAAGAATTGAATTAAATGCTCACAAGCCAGAAGTGTATTTCAAGGTGAAATTTAATCTTGTGTGCTTGCCTGACTAAGAAAAGGAATGTGAAGTAACATCTTCAGATTTTTATTTTTCTTTGGCCTTTTAAAATAGGGGTTTGTAGGCTTTAGGCAGTGAAGGTGTATAAACAGCTATGTTTATCAACTTCCTTGAACCTGCTGCTTTCCATGAGTAGTAGAACATGTGATGTGAGGATGGGCAAGGATGTAATCCAAGTATCCTTGTAGTCTTAAGTAAAATATTTGCTCGTAAAGGTAGTACTATCAGCAGTGTATAGTTTTTTTTCAACACTTTACTGAGCAAATCACTTTAAATGACAGTCTTAGCCGACGACAGACAACTTGCAAACATACATAATTCATCAAATAAATAACGTGCCGTAAAATAATTAATTGGAATTTAGGATCCTATGCTGCTCTGCACTCTATTCTTAGCCTAGAGTCCTGCCATTAGATGTTACCAGCAGTTGTCAAATGCTGATGTAACGCTTTTCTCCTACTGTGAGGAGACTGAAGTTTGTAGAGCATGCTATAAACAGTAGCCGTGGCTTTTGCTGAGTTCTCTACGCATCTCATTCATGCTAACATGCTCTCTGGTGTCATCTTCATGAATATTCAGGAAAGAGAGAGACGGTCCCCACCATTTAATCTTCAAATTCACCCATTCTCAGACGGTGTGAGTGCTCTACAGATATACTGCATGAAGGAAGGGGTGAAGGTAAGTCAGTTTCATTGGGCAGGGCTCCCTACAGGAGTGGCTGTCCGTGTAATCACTTACATTGATCTCTGCAAATAACTCCAGTAAATTTTCAGGTTTAATCAGTTTAATGAAACTTGTTTGACACATGGAGTTGTAGTTGTAGTTTTCAGTATGATTACAAAACCTGGTGCAAAAGCAATTGAAATCAGTGTGTGTTGCATTTCCATGTTTTATCTCAATGTTTTTCATAGGAAGGACAAATAATGCAGACATGATAAAAATGTGTGTGCCTTGCCTTTATCTTATTTTCTATTTGCAGGATGTCAGCATCCCAGACCTCATAAAACAATTAGACATCCTAGGTGATAATGGGGTAAGTTAAGAGGGAGGTATTTTCTCTTTACAAGCTACATTCTGTACAGAGGATAAGTGAAACCTGTAACTGACTGTTTTCTAAGGTATTTGTTAAATCATGTAATATTGGAATTGTTCCTCTAGAGAACATGTACCTTTAACTTTAGCTTTTGTTGGACCTCTATAATCAGAGGATGTGTAACAAAGCAGTAGCTTTAACAGCTGGTTTGGTAGACTGGGAAGAATGCGTGTCCAGAGGCCAAATGACATCTGGAACCAGGCCTGACTGCAATCCAGGCACTCAGCAAAAACTTGTGATGAATTAGTTTGGCAGTATAAGCCCACCACATCTTCATCATGTCTAAGATTTCTCTGAAAGAAGTTTCATAAATAGGCAAGAAATACCAAACGCTGTGTGGCTTTCTAAGCAGACATTGCCCACTTAATCATCCTTGTGAAAGAGAATATCCTCTATCTGTGGTCAACATTAGATATGTTGTAGATATGCAGATATAAGAGTGCATAAGAAATAGTAAAAGAAGGATCGTGATTATCTCTGTGTGTACTGAAACAGATGAGCTTTAGCTTAATTGTTTTTCAAGAAGTTATGGAAATTTGGTTTAGAGAAGCTACCCCAAAGGCAAATGGGTCTAACTTTAGATTTCTCCTGAGGTGCAGCAGTGTGAAAACATAGTCCATAGCTTGTGAAGAAATAAAGCATTCTTCTTTCTTTTATGTTAGCAGACCTGGGACATTTTGATGTAGACCTAGTGTGTATAGCATGGATAATCTGTATCCATGTAGGAAACTAGAGCTAATTTTTATTCCTTCTCTTCACAGAATTTAAGAAATGAGGAGCAAGTGGCTATAATTCAGGCTTCCACTGTGTTGTCTTTGGCAGAAAAGGTAAAATGTGTGCTTGCTTTTCTCAAGTCTTATCTAATACTCATATAATGCTGTCAATTTTCAGCTCTGTTGTTGGAAATATAATCAAACTTTCTAGTATAGGAGGCAATTTCTTGGAAAAAGAAAACCCTGCTAGCAGTATTTTATATTAGTGTGCATCAACTAGAGATTTTGCAAGGATAGGAATACCTTAATGTAAATGTAATCACAGTCCCAAACACCTTGCTAAAGTGGCAGAGATGTCAGATTTACCAGACACGAGCAATGTGGTCAGAATAGCTGGAAATACAAAGTAAAATAAAACATTACTTGCCTAGAAAACACAGCAGGTTACAGCTCTCATTCTTTTGCCTGCAGTGGATTCAGCAGATTGAGGGAGCTGAGGCTGCTCTGCACCAGAAGATGATGGAACTGGAGAGCGATATGGTAGGCAGACTTTCTTTGAATGACTTCTTAGAAATATGTCACACTTGACGTGCCACAAGCTATTAAAAACTGGTCTTTTGGCAAAACACATATGGAGGCTTTCTGTGATTATTAGTCCATAAAGTTTCTTTTTCATGTGCAACAGCAGAATAAAGGAAAGAGAAACAGTTGACATTTGAGAACTTTTTTTATTAAGATAACTGTTTATTAAAAAATACAAAGACTCAGATGCTGCTTGGTGATTTTCAGAGATGTAAGTGACCACACTCTTTGCCTTAATGTTAAACTTAAACAATTAAAGTTTAAAAGTTAGTAGTGGTACTGCATTTTATTCTCTATAGATAAGTGGGAAATAATTTTCATGCTGTTTTATTTCATTGTGCTTTAAACCTATATAATCTTTAAGGTAAAACTCTCACAGATAAACTTGCTACAGTACTTTTATACTACTCTTATTCTAGTTAGTGGAAGTCTTTTAAAATTAGCCTGCCAGCATGAGTTGGCATGTCCATACTTAAGTTGATTAAGCTTAAGTTGAGGACTTAAATGCAGCATCTTTCTCCAAATAACATGGTCATGAAAATGCCTGATTCGGTTCCTGTTCTGTTGATTGCACTCTCACACTTATTCCAAAATAAGAAGATCAACAGAAGGTGTTGTCCATGCCTCCAGAGCTGCTGTCTGCACAAAAACTGAAATGCTACTACTGAAATGCTAAGCAGCACCACTAAGAAAAGAGATTATAGATTTAGCTTTATGTAGGAGATGTATTATCATGAAAAGCAAACACAGCTGTTTTTGTTCCTACTCTTCTATCTGAGATAGCCAAATACCAATAACCCTGCAGTGTCAGCTGTAGATCAGTCTTCTAGTCCTACCTAAGTCAGATATCCGTTGATTTAATAAAACTTCCCAAGCATTTTGAGTAACTAACTCATTTTTCTGTCCAAATGATCCTTTGTTGTAGGAGCAATTTTGCAAAATAAAAGGTTATTTGGAGGAAGAACTAGACTACAGGAAGCAAGCTCTTGACCAGGCATACATGGTATGTACAAAGGAAGTGCTACAGCATACATTGGTTCGCACTGTAGTGCGACACAGGCTCCATCTGGATCAAGAAGAGAGGTTTTTGCTTTCCTCTTGGTATCTTTTATCTGACACACTACCCATGCATCTGCAACACTTCAAAAGGGCGCCTAGGATTTGCTGGCACATCATAAAAAGGCAGAGCTCCTGAAGTCCAAAACTCTTCTGTCATCTGAAGGCAGATGTTGCTCATTAATGTCAACAAGTCCAAATGGAGTCAGTGCAATCAACTAGAACTCAGATCTGGAATCTTAGAGGGCCCATTTTGTGCATGCCATAGCAAGAAGATGATGTGCCACAAAGAGCAAGATTTCCTGCTGTAAAACACTGCTGTACCAAATTCTGATACGTAGGTCTGGTAAACAGCCACACAAGTTCAGCATATTTGGTTTGTCAGTTAATGGCAATGCTCATGACTAGCAGGGTTAAGAGCAAAATTAGTCTAGCACTGACTTTCAGTCTGTCTTGTTTTAAGACTTATTTCTAGTGCAGTGAATCAGCTTTAGAGTTGGTGAAATATTCATCTTTTTAATTGCAATTATGAAATACATATGAAAGTTTTGTCCAACTCCTGATCATCACTATAACCACTTAAAAAAAAAAAAGTCACCAAGAGGTGTCAGTGACAGTATTAGCATACCATGCAAATAAGTGCGCGCTTCTTTGGTTTAAGCACTGGGCCCTTCTGTAAGTTCTGCTTGTCACACTCCTGCACTTTTGAGCACAGGGACCATCATGCAGGTGCCTCAATCTGCCACAACTCCCTGTCCTCCCTTTCTTTAAAAAAAAAAAAAAAAATTCTGTCTCTAACTGACTTTTGGTATTGCATCGACCAGAGGATCCAGGAGCTTGAGGCCACCTTGTACAATGCTTTGCAGCAAGAAACAGTGATAAAGTTTGGAGAACTGCTCACTGAAAAACAGCAGGAAGAGCTCAGAACAGCAGTAGAAAAGCTAAGACGCCAGATGCTGAGGAAAAGCAGAGAATATGATTGCCAGATTCTTCAGGAGAGGATGGAGCTGCTCCAGCAGGCTCATCAGGTAAAAAGAAAAAAGCACATGTGTATCTATGCAGCTTTGCAGTGTAAGAGTAAAAACTGAGGCCAAATCTGGGCAGGCTCCAGGTCACAGGCATGCGTGACATCTAGTTTCCTGAGTTGTTTTATACTTCATGTCTTTACTGTGCACATAAACCCTTAATATTAGCTTGTGGAGTGGTCTTTAGAAGTATTTTGAGTCTTAAAATTCTAATCCAAGCAGTTTTCATCCTTAAAAGTGGCTGCCCTAGTTATTGGACTTGTCTCAGTAGGAACTGCATAAATTGTTCTGGTGCATGTCGCATAGAAGTATCTTTTTCCTGCCACTTCTGGGTTTCTCCTGGTTACTGGCCATCTGTCATAGACTCTGGCTAAGTAGAAAAAAGACACAAAGATTCAAGGTCTCAGTTTTGTAGTCTGTAACTCTGTGGGATCATTCTTCCCATTGTGCTAAACTTCTAAGTTGTATTACGCAGTTTTTATAGAAGTATCTATCTCTGTTAAAACCACATTGAGTATGAGTTTAGCACACCCAGCTAACCACGGAATTAGTGTTAGCCATAAACATTTAACACTTCACATCTGATAACATTTTAGTCCTTTTTTAATACATCATACTGTGAGAAATCTTAATTTTGATATATTTCTAACAGTATAATCACAACTGTACACTTTCCATATCTTTACCACAGGATTAGTAAAATCAATACTATCAAACATCCACTGTTGATGCTAATTCCCAGTGTTTTGAGGATGCAGTAAAATACACACAACATCATGTTTTGAGTGGTCATACGTGAGGTAAAGTCACTGTTAGGCAGGGCTAGTGGCTAGAATTGTGCTGCTCCATAAGTTCATACCTGCCAGAGAAGTGAGCTCGTTAATTTCTGGGCTTTTGTCACTTCAGATGTTCGGTTGCTTTCAGCTGAGCAGAGCTACTGAGTCTAGTTGCTTTCTTTTCTAATTTCCAGAGGATCCGAGATTTAGAAGACAAAACTGACATCCAAAAGAGACAAATTAAGGATCTGGAGGAAAAGGTTGGTTTTGTTTTGTTTCTGAAGCAGGCTTGTTTTGAAAGTAATGACCTAATTCTTTTGAACTACGTGGATTTCTTTTTATACCTAATCAGCTGTACATTTTAGTGCTTTTCTACTATGCTTTTTTCAGTGTTTGCCTTTTAGTGTATTCTGACTTTAATCTTAGAGCTTCTTCCACAACAGATTGTTTCATTTTAGGAAATAAATTCTGAACACTTTTTAATTATGGTGAATGATACTGGGCCAAATGTTGAAACCTTTATTTGGTGGTGAGAGGCTGTCTTGGTCTCCAAGCAGTACATCCATTAAGGCAGGGTGATGGTAGTGAGCAGGAAGGAGCAAATGAAGCTCAGTGAAGGTACAGAGACTGTCCTTTGGGAGCTCAGATTCTAGTGCTCTCTTGTTTACTGAAGTTTGCAATTGATTGTGCAATATGAATGCAGTACCAGAATCTTGCTCCTGGCTGACCTGTCAAGTTGCATATCCACATTCTCTCTATATATACAAAGATACACATAAATATATACGGAGCTGTGCTGCTTTTTTCTTTGTCACATTAACTTGTCTTAATTCTTGATAGGTTAGATAGGATTGCTGAAGAAAGATCAGTGTGGGCGCATCATAATCTTGCCATTGATGTATTTTCTAGGAATGCTGTACTGATGTAAGATGCATCTCCAGTGAGAGCTTTGCCCATGTAGTCGTATTAGTGAATATCAAAGTACATATGTGAGCTATAACCATGGCTTTATCAGTACAGTGACTGTAGTGCCACTGAGCCCCCCCAGTTTGTATGTATGTTCCTTAAGTGAAACAAATGAGTTCAGTGTAAAACTTGATATACGTAATTCCTTCCACTTTTCTGTCAGTATTTTCATGACACAAGAACTCGGTGTCTTTCTTGAGTATACAACATGGAAATATTTCATAATCTGTAGTGAAAATCAAAACAAAAATAAAATCTATGCAGTGGTCATATGGAGACCTTGAGTACGAGACTCTTTAGTGTCAGTATTCCACAGAATTTTTTATTCATAAAAATTCACATTCCAGGAGATCATTTGTGATTAAAATGACACATCCAATTTTTTCAAAATATAATGGTTAGGTTTTGATATTGTGTAACACTGTGTATACTTACAGTTGCAGGTTATTTCCAGCATAAATGACAGGCACTGTTTTTTAACCTACTTTAAAATACTACTCATGCTAGTTTTGATGTCCAGCTTTGTGTCTTCCATCATTCCACAGTGGCTTACAGTGACAGCTGTATCTCAGGCTTTCAATGTGGTGCAAATTCTAGTTTGCCACCAAAATAAATCGCATCTGTTTGTAATGTGACGCTTTGAGATGTAACTAGGGAAATACAGTGTATTCTGAACATAGAATTACTTTACTTGTCCTTCAGAGTGCAAAAAGAACTAATCCTGGTGCTTACAATGCCATGACTTCTTATTTTTATGCTGTCTTTTTCTTCTGCAGTTTCTATTTCTATTCTTGTTCTTCTCTCTTGCCTTTATTCTTTGGCCTTGATGTCAATGTGCCTCTTGAAAAGGTAAGACTATGTTATTTTTCTCCTGAAATCTGGTACTTCTTGCGCTGTGCTGAGGATCAGACTTCGTGTGTTCTGTGCACGTCCAGAGTCAGGAATCTGGGAAGTCGTTGTCAATTTGCAATTTGTAAGTTCATTGTGGAGAGTGATCACTGCTGATCTAACAGATGGCATTGCAGCCAGACCAACACTGTCCAACATTCTTGTGAATGAACTGACAAAGCTTGCTAATTATACTATGCCATTTGTAATTGCAAAAACTAAAGCCAACAGGAATTTCATAATATCAAATAATTAAGAGAACAGCAGGTAAAATTCACTGTGCCATCTAAGTTTCTGGTTCTTAGAATTACCAAGATGAATACCATTAGGGTGATCTCTGCAAAACTGCTTGACTTCCACTGGATGTATGTTGACTTGATTAACTTTACAAGAGACTTCAAACAGATCTATAATAAAACAACAAAAACTTACAGCACCTCCTTGAAATAGACATAAGGAACAATCTGATAACGAGAAAACTTTGGTTTTGTTGGAGCGCTGCTCCAGTTTGTCCTTTAACAGTCTCTCAACTCTTAGAGCAAACTGATACAATTGCAGATGATTCCTTCTGGATTCTTTTTCTGACAGGATTAGGCACAGCTCGTTGCTGTTCTTTTGAGATCAGGATGGACAACATTTGAAACAAGTTCAGAATGTAATGTGTGTGAATGAGGCCATATGCAGCATATTTAGCATCCAGACCAGAATTCTCTTGCTCCTTCTGGGAGTTTACTACCTGCATTTTTTTTGGTGCTTTGTATGTACATTTTCACTTGCGATTGCATAAAGAAGTCTGGTCTGCCTCAGTCTCACACTCAGTGAGTTTTACCATGTGGATTTTAACGCTGAGGAAGCAAAGAAAAACTAAGCTGTTTTCTCCCACACTTAAATCTGAAACCCGGAATTCTTTTCCATATTACAGGGAAGATTTCCTTGAACCAGAAGTAGTCTGCATTTGACTCATTACTGAATCAGCCAAAGTCCTAGATTTGGGGTAAAACCACAAATGTATCACCTGCTGTCATATCTGGTAAATTTTAGGCAACTTTGGTACAAGAGTTACTGACAGTTTTCCATGGACTGATGTGTAACTATTTGCCTGAGGATACCTGTGGGAACTTCAGTTGACCAGAAGACTGTACTCTGTAGTGTCCAATAGATGGGGAGCAGAAACAGTCTGCCAAGTTAGCTGGTAATATAAGAAAAAAATCCTTTCACCTTTCTGATAGATTCTGTTTGTCAGCTGGATAGGTAGGCAGTGAACTTATCACTTATCTGATACAGATGTTCTTTTTCTTATACTTTTAGAGCACCCGGCCACACAGATTTGTCCCTAGAAAAGCAAATGCTTCCAACCCCCCAATGAAGAGAACCTTGTTTACATCTGTTTAAGAAAAACAAAAAAACAAATGAACAACCTGTAGCCAAGACCACAACCACCTTGTATTTTAAAGCCATCACTCAAGATTCATTAACGGACAGTTCCTGTCTAAAGCTATGATATATGCTGCATCTAATGAAGTTCTATATGTTGAAATTACAAAAGGGGAAGAAATATAAACTGTCAACCTACTTTGCTAAAGAAAAACTTAAATGGAATCAGCAAGGATCCGCTTCCAGCTGATTGAGTCAGAGTGTGTCTTGGGCATGGAACCAAAGTTACAACAGAAAAATCTATCCCTGCTGTGCAGGGCAGTTGTTTAAATCTGATATCCCACAAACAGATAAAAAATAAGAGGAAAGAGCAGGAGAAACGCTTAGGCTGTGCAGAGAGATGCTGACCATAAGGTGTTCTGTTCAAACTGTCGGACTTTCTCGCTGCAGGGAGGCTCTTTCTCTCTCCCTTTGGTGTTCACCTCAGGAACAATGACAGCTGCAATGTGGGGGCAAAAAAAAAGGAGAAATGTATTCTGGCTTATTGCACTGTGGGCAGGACAAACCACCATGTTTTGTATTTGAGGTCACTATAAGGCACCATTGTACATGGCAGAGGAAGGGAAGAATCAGATGTGGGGCATAAGGAATATTTCTGGAGGAGTTGTCTTATCTCTTCATACTCCATGCATGAAGAAAAGCCTGTCCTTTGTCAGATACTTCTCAGACTTCCATATTTGGTTTCATTAAAAGAATAACATGCTGAGGAGCACTGGATTGAACTTAGAGTGTGGCTTCTGAGAAGATGTGTTCAAGGGGAAAGGAAAGAAAGCAGTCCCCAGTGTCTATGTTGTATGATCCTCAGAGCATCAGCTTTCAGATATTTTGTTCCAGCCTTGATCCTACTGAGCATAAGAAGCCCTTATAAATATTTTGGTTTGGCTTGTCAAATGGATTTTGTTAGCTGGCTTCTTGACCAAGAATGCGTTTACCAAATAGTGGGGAAAGCCATGTGAAGGCATCTTTACTAGATATGAGAAGTAGCGTCATTAGTCCATTTAGATATTACCATAATAACTAGAAGTCATTTCCATTTCAAAGCATTATGTATCTCTTTCACGACCAAGTCTGGAACCCAGTCCTGCTGTCTCCCTAAGGCAAGCAGTGCCCTCGCAGCTGCGTGTCCCTTTAGTCGGTAAAAAGCAAACCCCAAGGAGAGCTGGCACCTGCAACAAACCCTGCCAAGCTTCTGTGTCTGTTGGATGCACCTTTGCTTCCACCTTTCCTTTCTTCATGGTGTGCTGTGTGAGCTAGGCACAGCAGTGCACTTCTCTGCCTCTGTTTTTATTTCCTTGGAAACAGGGTCTTGCCTGTGCAGACTTCAGGTTCCTGTAGCAAAGCTTAATTGAGCTGTGTCTTCCACAGCGGCGCCTTAATTTCAGCTGGGAAAAAAAATGGATTTCCACGTAACAGTGTAGAAGACAGCCTGTGCGTTACTTAAACCTTAAAAGAGGGCTCAGGTGTTCCAAATTTTATGCGCACAGACTCTGCATACTAGAAGCTTTAAAAGTGCTTTACAAAGAGTCTTGCCTTTGCTTGCTTGTTCATTTTCACAGATGAAGCAACTGAGGCACAAAGCAGTGAAGTAACTTGCACAGCAACTCAGTAGGGCAGAAGCTATTCCTCGGCTGTAGCAGGAATGAAGTTCATCTAGTGCAGAGGATGCCTGCCCCTCAAATGTTTTGGAGCTGGAATAGATTTTACTCATTAATGTCCAACACTGGGTTCTGTTTGTCAGAGACTGAGAAGATCCTCATTTCATGCATGTCTGGAAGTTCTGTTGAGCCCTCCATTAAAGGTTAGCAGCTACCAGCAACTTTCTGCTCCTTAAAATTAATTTAAATTGCGAAATGAATGGAGCTGCGTGAAGCAGTCCATTTTAGTCAAGGGGTTTACTGAATTCTGCACTAGCTATATGTTGTTTGGCCCCATTTTACTTTATTTTTTTGTAACAGGCTTGTAGGCAGGTATGTTACATGAATGCTGGTATGTTTGCATGCTCTGTGTTGCAGAAGAATCTATGGATAAGGTTGGCCCAAACCTATCACCTGTGCTTTCCAAGGGTGCTGCTGCCAATTCATCATGAAACTTTGGAGTCAGGCCCTTTGAGAGCCTCCTCCACATTTGTGACACATTGGGATCACTTCACAATTTCTTAAGTGCAAAAAGTTGTTTTTTCCTGTCTGGTTATTCCTTCTTCCCCTTTCCACCATTCTTTCTCCCTTGCTGGAGCACAAGTTTGTTTCGTACTTGGCTGCAGTAGTATGTGGGAAGTAAATGCAGCCTGGAAACTTTTCCCTAGACGTTATAATGCCAGGCTCGTCTTTGAGAAGCATGAGTATAGCATGTGTTTTCATGGTGGTGCAGTAACTTCCATCTCTACTTTAGTTTAAAAAATAAAATAAAAACTGGAAATGTTTGTTACAGACAATCACAGGGCAGAAGCATAGCAGATAACACTGTCTGGTTTTAGAACATACCTTGCTGATTTTGTGACAGGCTTCATTATTTAGGCCCTATGACCTGCGCTGCGCACATCTTGTGCTCATTTCTCTTGCCTGATTTCCCCTCCCTTACTCTTTCTTGTTATATGCGTGTAGGTGCTGTATTTCCAAGGGCTGAGGGAGGGGTGGGAGGTGGCAGAGCATCCACAGGGTACTGTGGTGTTGCAAATTTCAGAAAGATTGCTGGAGTCCCTCCAGAGAACTGAACAACAGCTGCTTTATTCTCCTTGCAGCATTACATGAGCCATGCCTAAAACACACTTGCTGGTAAAATACAAGTTTCCTCCTCTCTGCCTGACAAAAATGAGTTTGATACAAAATGTTTGGCTATATATACATATGTATCTATATCATATAGATACATACATATAAGTATATATGCACATCTATCTGTCTGGTCACTACTGTATATAGGAAATCATTGCTATAGGTTATGAAAATGTATTTCCA